AGAAATTCATTAGCACGTAATCTCTGTGTAACACTCGCTTCTAACTCAACCATATATGCGTTTGAAGAGACTCAATTTGTCTCAAGAAATATCTCACCAAACTAACATTACGTTTAATCTTACACCGACGAAGGGATTTACAACACTGCCTAAAAAACCATGTGTAACAATGTAATCATGAACAAAATCCAACAGTTTTCGCTTCACTGAATTTCGCACGATACTTCGTGTACTCGGTGAGTCCCTTCAGTACAACTGGGTGTTCACTAGATTATAGCAATATTAAAATCAGACAACAAAGTTCCTTGCTATGGAATATTCCATGGGGATTTCTGGATCGCTTAAGTTCAATTAGTTCACACACCACTCTCAGATTGTCTCGTGAAATAATCCAAATCATCAAACCGTTGATTTCAATTTCCATCTCAAATGTTGTCTAGCTTCGACTTATCAAAACACTAAAGCTCATTAATTAGTTATACTTGAAATTGAATCGGTGAGATTCTTGCAATACGACAAACATCTACACTCAGGTATCTCACTGTACGATTGTAACCGAAATGGATTTTGTTTTTACGTACATGGAGAAATGAAATATACATTAAAATATATGAAGATTCACTTATTTATTTTCAGGACAAAATTTGTTTGTGGACTAATTTTAGGTCACCATAATAATGTCAAACTCAAAAATTCAACATATAAATTGTTTATTCAAACGAAATCACTTTCAAATATTTTATATTTGCATACAATAGAATGAAACATGATAATTAATTCATGAATTGTATGGTTGATACATATGAATAAACTGTCAGTTCATTGAAACAATTTGCAGATATCTAACCAACCACAACATAACAACAATTGATATTGGGTAATTAATTAATCAAACCGGAAGTAAATTTTCCATTATATAAACGAAGCTGTGCACGGGCAGAATATGAAGTAACTCGTAAACTAAACAGCAGTTATTATCAACCATGTCTTCTCATGGAGGTAAGTGAACTATACCTTTTTAAAATTACGCTTTAACTCATACTATTGTAATGATTATGCTGAGTTACTTGAGTAGTAATAAAGTTTGTTAGTATACTGAGTCTAATTGTCTAACAGTGTAGTGTAAAACCGCGGTATTGGGAAATATAGAATTGATTTCCAGTGGTCGTAACACATGGCATTTGCAGATGGTTCGTTTTGAATGATGAACTGCTAGAGATTTAGCACACTAGTAGTCGAAATATCTGGATCGAGTATCAACGACATGTCATACCATTGAATGAGGTTGAAGTAGTATTATGCATTTGGATGATTTGGTTGTACCTATTTAATCATCAAAATCTACTAGCACATGCAAAACCAACAGTTTGCTGTTGTTTATACCCGGTAAATAAGTACTGTTGCAAAGTTTTCATCACGTTAAATACACTCATTATATTCAACAATTTCGTCTAACATTTGACTTTGCAGTAAACTATATCTGTTTCTTTCACAAATTCATTCAACCAAAAACAACTATTTTTATGTTATTAAGAAAACGGGTGAATTATTGATCACAAATGGAATCCATAAGCAATGGTGGCTCATTTCAGAGCCAAACATTGACTTAACAACATTCAATGTAGTTTTAAGTCCAAATCTTATTCTATATCAAAATAATACGTAATTACATAACAGGTTTGGTTCATCACATATCACATAAGCTTTTTTGACACTGACCACTTTGATTGTCATAAACTTGCTTCTCCAGACACAAAAACTATTCATACGGTTTCAGCCAAACGCATTTATGCAGAAGTATCTTCATTGACAGGAGTCACTGCACTAACCACTAGTTTCACTCATTACTATGGCTAACAACGAAGATGGGTTTTACTTATCACGTCATATTTCACATGATAAGTGCTTGTGGATTCTAATAAAGCACTAGTTCTACACGCAAGACTTTCAGCTAATCACCTCCATTATACGATGCCCAATACGTAATGTTTTTAAGTTAACTAAAGGAATTGATCCCCTAATACACAGTATATGATAGTAACTAAGCAAAAGATCTCGACAGTTATTATTTATCGAAGTGGTGAGAGTCATTTGAAAAGGCTACATCTTCTGCACACCGAAATTGTATTATCCATGTGCAGTCACCACATATGGTTCCTCATGGATGAACTGAACTCTTTAACCATTTGATTGCTAAACTAATTGATCTAAACAACTCATCGGATTCTGCAGTTCAGTATGTTTTAGACACATCTGCTCACCTTACTAAACTAGCTAAGAGCTCACGGTCAAAGTTCCATTTTTTATGTCACCACTCATGAGGGATGCCTCTTTCATACACTCGATATCCAGTCTAGTACTAGTCTCACACTCACCCACCTCCGGGTATAGCCAAATAAACTATTCGTCCTTCATACTGCCGTCTTTGGATTTATTAACCAAACGTGTGGTTAACGTACATCATTTGAGTACAACGTTCAGAACACTTGTACCAGCATCACCCAGTTCTGAAGTATACAGTTATCTTCATTGACCTCTAGTGTTGTCTAGAATGAACCACAAAATGTGCGTTGGATATTTGCAAGCAGTCACCACATTCCAAATTGCTTTACAAGAATAGTGGGCAGAAACCAACTAACAATTAGAATGCTAGAAATGTCTAGTGATCACCATGTCTACTACTGTTCCACTGGAGCGTCATATATTCAGCTCGTATTAAACAATCATATCAAAACTTATAGACGTCCCTCGAGTAAACTACATAGTTTAAGTTCACACATTACACAAAGCCTAATTATTTGACGTCTATAAATAATGACTTCACATTATCTTAGTATAAAATACTTTCAACAGATTATATTCACAATCAATGTCAGTGGTTAATTTCTTGACAACACGAACCATTAATGTACCTAGGCATGACTGTCAATATGACATGACAAACAATCTTGACTGTTGTTTAAGGTTTCAGGTTTATGTGTGAGTTTGGGTTAACGTTTATTTCCGTTCGTGCGTTTTACTAAATTTGTGCTTCAAGCATAATGCAGTGACGTACGAACATTAGTAAAGATAATTATTCAAAAATAAAATATTTATTACCAAATGAGTATGCACTAAGCCATGACTGATCTTTAATTATTAAGGGCCGGTTTTCTGTTTTTAACTCACACCCAAAAAAATCAAATGGATGGCTCATCCACACAGTAGACTTGATTAATTGGATTTCTTCATATTCTCACTTCAGCTGAACATCATCACGAACATCATGAAGAAGCCGGTCATGGTCATGACAACAAAGAGCATTGCAAATCGTCTGAACACTGTGTGAAAGACTGCCACGACAAAGAGGGTGCTGGTCATGGATCTCATGACAAGCCACAACATTGTGGAACTGGTTGTCATAAACCAGGATCTGGAAAAGATCACGGTGGTCACTAAACACATGTATCGAAAATTCCTAGATAGTTCATAAACTTATTTCTTAAAAATAACTAACACAAAGTAACTACAGACATTTTATTGACTATTGAATTTTAAATATACATTTTTAATGCCTGTACACTTTTTGCTTTTATGTAACGTTAATTATTCTGTCTAATCCACTGTTTTATTAAAGTTATACTCACATTAAGTAGAATCTTCCGTAGTAATAATTCTCTCTTGAAGAATGTCAAATCGATTATAGTCGTCACACAGTTGGTGTTACATCCAGTCGAAATTTCCGATCTGAGTGAGTCAGAAAAATTGACTTCAAACGCATACGGTACACATGATTCGAAATCTTGAGTGAATAACTATTACAACGAGGTCTGTACATGTTGTCCACTTTATTGTGAGCTGCATGTTCAATATTATTTCACTGTCTCAATGGTTAGACTTTTAAGTACAAAAACTGTGATGAGTAGATGCAGTAGTACCGAATTCGGTAATATGAACTGGTAATTCCTAGAACTGTCCAATAAGTAATCTAGTGATCACAAATCCACCAGCACTCAAGTAATAAAGAATACAGTGAGCAGAATTGAAGGTATAACCTCGTAGTTTCAAACAGACGCGTAACGATTTACAAAACATTTATTACTTAGCACGAACACCACAGAATACATTAACGTATGGTTTCCCACACCAACCAGTCTCTTCGTTTCTGTCCTCCAAATAAAATCATACACTTTCAACAAGCTATAAAAATGAGAATACACCAAAAGTAGCTTCAAATTATATATTCATGTCTGAAGTAGGAGAGCAGCCTCGAAGTAGTCACATCGAAATGTCACAATTCTCTGTTATTTTCAGTTTTGTGGGCTTACGTAAAACAATCGACAATCTAACGTTTGACAATAAGCCTTAAGATTAATTGCAATGGCGAGCATTTTGTTATTTTCCTTCAAATCTGCATCCTACTCCATACTTTGCTTTGCTTCCTAATAATTTCTTAACATTGCTTCACCTCCTTACTATTCGTCATGATGATTTTGTCCAATACGTTTTAGCTTTGTATGTCTACTCTCACAGCCCTAATGCGAAGTGTAATGATCACTGCATAATTGAAGTTGAGTGATGATATTTATTGTTCACTAACGAATAATCACCATTAAGAACTAATGTGGCACCCCTTCATATGACTGAATCCGACACTTTCAGGAATACATAGTTTTTGTTTGCTAGATTGTAGAATGAATATTAAGGTATTGCAGAATGACCGAAAAGTACAGTTACATTGGCAGCTGATCAAAAGATTTCTAGTCTTAAAGTGAAATCAATGTGGAAAATGTTCGTTGAAATTGTGTTGAATGATTACATTTGCAATTACAACGATGATACGCAATCGATTTACAACTCATAAGGAGTTATCTAATTAGAAAGGGAAATTACAGAATCGACTATCGCTTTCCCGTTCCCAGTCGGAATTTTTCACAGGTTCTCAATTAAACAGTAAATAGAATAAATCCACTGGGGAGTTCTATAGAACGAATATGTGGCTAATAAATACCCATACAGTTATCAACAAAGATTGTATTAGCCTATTTCTGGACAACTGAAAGACATACAAGATTTATCAAATCAAAAACATTCTACCTAATGTAAAGTGAAAAAATATCCATCACGGGTAGGAAGCATAGAGGAGAACCAACACGTTCGAGTGTAAACCAACAAGAAAACATGGCAATTGATGTATTTTTTCCTCAATTGTAAAGCGCAATTAATTGGAAGGCTGGATTCAGTTATTCAGTCATTTGAGCCATGAATGTAGTATCCATATAATCTGATGATTTGAGATACGTAGGTTTGAGATATGACAATGAAGTACATTTATTTGCAAGGTAAAAACCTGGATAAGCCAATCAAATATGTGCGAATGGTATAAGTCCACATCCGTAAACGTAAATCAGCAGTTCATGTAGCCCCAAACTCTGTCATCCATTTCTCATACCGTTCAACATCACTGGCTGAAACAGATCTGCACACACGACCGACTGCTTCTTCGAAATCAGCCATTCGTGTCGGCTGATTAAGTGTAGCAGTATTAAGACCTTTAATTTGCTCTACTGAGAGTCCTTCTATAGCTCGTCGCATAGACATCATTGAAGCATCTCTAGGATAATCAAAAATATATCACTATAAAATCGGGCGGGATATTATGTGAGTAGGAAAATATTACTTATACATTAACTTGAAAATTGCAACAAATATGACATTTACAAAATTCTAACAATGACGAGTGAGAATTAATAAAACGAATTCGAATTTTAAAAGGACAAGAACTAGTGACTCTGAATTACCAGTTAGTGGAAAAAACGGTCAGGTGCAACGAGCAGAACTAAGTTATAGTTCATTTGTTTGTGATGACAACTGAGGTAGGCTATGACATACACAAACGCGTGTTCCCTCTATTGCAAAACTACACTATAGCAGTGATCGATAACAGACAAAAACTTTCAGTTCAAAGCTTTTCATTGATTCCGATTCACAATACACTTGATATGTTAACTGGGAAAACAGTAAGTTTCTCAATCAGTGTTAGTGTTGAGTAGACAACATAGTAACTATATTCAGGCTCATGGAATAGGCTGTGAACGACCCCATCTATTCTTTAAAATATGATAGACGGAACCAACGCATACCATGAGTTCACAGTTGAAAGTTATGTGTGACGAAAGTACCTAGTTGTACATAGGAAGTAACTGAAGAACTCATCAAATCCTCCACATAATAGATTGAGGCCGATATCAGTACCGTACTCTATCTTCAGTCTTCAGTTCAACAAACTAAACAACACAGAAGACAAGGTTCTAATACCGCATTCCAGGCACCCAGAATTAGAAGTGCAAACTTTCACCTTTTTTGACAATAGTCACAAAATGTTTTTGTTTGAAGGTAACATAGATAGATAACATAGAAACAGAGACTGGAATTAAAAGTCAACAAAATGCACGAAATTTATTGTCTAACGATTTTCAGATTCATGAATCTTGATGCAACGCTTTTAGAAGACTTTGTTTATCCACATATGTTTATTTGTCTCGAAGATACTTTGCCTCACGGACTGAAGTCAAGTTGAGAAGCAAGGGGTATTTCTTTTATCTTAGTTTGAAACGCGCACCAATTATGCTTTATGCGATCGAACCTAGAAACTTCACGTCCGATGGTAAAAGTGATATCATTCAGCCGCGAACTCGGCATCTAATAAAAATCCCTCATAACTTCTATGGAATAACAATATAGTGTAATCACTGTTGCAAACATTAAAGATAGGTTGCTGCTTTTCTTTTAGCTCTGTCTGAGAATCTTGTTTTCGAACCTTCAAAAAATGCCTCTATAAAAAAACCATGTTCTCAAGAGTAAGTTGCTCAGAGTTTTAGCGAGAAATCGTGAGCTAAGGAGTCAACCAAGTAGAAAGTATCGTATCCGAGAACGGTTTCTCGAAACCGCAAAACGACTTAAGATGAAAATGATAACCACATGATTCCAAACCAATAAATCAATAGCACTGTATTCACTGTGAAAATTGGAACCGTTAGGAACGATCCTGTGTTGATGCTGAAGATATATAGCTCAAAGGAATGCTTTTGGTTTTTGTTTCGATGGTATGTAATGCTGATGAATTTTAAACGACAGCAAAACGACAGTATATCTCTATTTCATTAATGAGTTTTGTTATTTGGTTTCATTTGTTACAAGATTTAACCTTCTCAGTTCGGAATGTGGAAAACGTTTGGAGTGTGTACTGTTGAGTTTCAAGCTAAGACAAATTAAAATGTGACCATTCCCCTTCACTTTATAGCTAAAGATAACAAAATAACTTAAAATTAAACCATACCTGCATACATTCGTTATGTCTGCACCGGAATAACCATCTAATTGTTCAGCTATACTGTCTAAATCTACATCTTCTGCTAAAGGAACGTCTTTCAAGTTGATTTGCAGCAGAGTTTTGCGTGCAGTCACTAAGGTAAATCAAAATCAAGACGACATAGATTAGGAAGAATCTCAACAAATCATTGAGTCAATGAGATTTATTTTTATGAATTCTGTTGAATAAACAAAACATAACAGTTCAAAAGTATAAAATCATTTAAATAACTAATGTACGATTAGATGATTCTCGTCATTTCTTCTATTCAACAAATGTCAATTAAATAACGTGGTTCACTTCAAGAAACTAAACGTTGTAGTCTCTTAACCAATTATAACTTTACGCGGTGATAATCAGTACCATTCAATAATAAATGGGATGTGGAAAACCGAAATGAAATTCAGTGATTAAAGTGTTTAATACACTTTCCATGGTACAAATGTGATATCTACCATTAGAAAACACATATAAGGTCGTAGTTATCTAGGCTTTTTGATGTATCTGACCACTTTTGTCATGCATTACTTAATAATAACAACTTTATACATACAGGATCTATGACCATTAAGACATCTATTCTGTCAGTAATTCCGTACTAGAAAACGATATCAACTGGAATCATGTATTTTTTATACATCTTATGCCTGATACTATTACCAACTCTATCAAAAATATTCATATTAACTCGAATTATTTGTTACCACTTTATTTTTACTCACTTTACAATGCTCGTAAATTTATTTATTTACTTGAACGCAGAAATATTGGTACACGGGGATATCAAATACATACGCGACATATAATAACAATGAGGTTAGTAGCAGTTATCATTGATTTGTGTGAGGGTTATGATACTGCCCAGGCGCCCAGACCGAAGCAGGTAGTTTTTCTTAGGAAGCCCCACCCGGAGCCTTCGACCTAAAGGTCTGATCCACAAGGCAGTGGAGCAATGTCAGGAGATGCAATCCCATGGTAGCCGCTGACAAATAATTGGTTCATACGCCATTTGTTCTCTCAGGATGTTGGAGCCCATGTACACCATTGGTTTGGAACCGGGGTTTTCTAAGTCCGTTAGGTGGGTCTTACATATTCACCAACCTTGTTAATGTGCCGGACATTCGCTTTTCGTCCTCTAAAATTCGTAAACAACAGTAATGCCGCGAGAAGGTAGTGAGTAGGACTTCCCTGGTAGTGGTTGTATATGCATGATCGTGTAAGAGCATATCGAGAGGGAGAGAGAACTCTCCCCACCCTCAACTGTACCAGAGCATTTGGAAGATAATCATTTATGACAATATATTTTTACTATTATGATTACTATAACTATTAATCAAACAGTTTGTAAAATACTTAGTCAATAGATTACTGAAAAAGTAACAAACACAGAAACGAACTGTATTTCAATTTTAAAGTCATGTATTTTAATATAGCAGTTGATATAGATACCATTAATTCGTAGAAAGTCATCATTGCTTATTGAGTAGATAGCAACATGTTCAGGATGAGATTAGCAGTTCACGAGTTAGACTTTTTAATGGATCAAGTATAACTGTTGAATTAAATCAGATTGATCTAAAACACCTGTACAATGAACCTTGGTTTTAAATAGCTTTGTGGTTGATGATGAAGGCAATTCCCAAGTATGTGTAGATGTTAAGTTTAAGTCTTTATGATCAAGATTACATACACAAACTTTCACTTTATATAACTTTATAGAACAGAACTATTAGAATGACTACTATTTTCAGATTTGTTGACATGTAATTATCGAACATTTAAAACTGTACATTCCACCTTAGGGTATGGCATCCCAATGTCTTTGCCAAGATATTTTAGAAAATGGGATTTACCAAAGGTTGAGCCTTTTCAAAATGTCACATAATACATTTGAAATATACCTGTGTATAACATTTGTTTGCTTTCCCATTTATATCGATTCCAATAAGACTAGCTTTTAGAAAGCATCTATCACTTGGAAACATTTGAAAATGACAAGGTATATATTAATTTAGCGCGAACATCATACTGTTAGAACAGATTCATTGTAAGATGATCACAATTGATAGGACAATATTCAGTTGATAAAAATATAAACTGTCAGAACATTAGATAACATGTCAAAGTCTAGAAGATAGGTAGAATGGGAAAAAGTGAATATAGATAGAAATAAAGGCAATCTAATGTAACAGACTCTAAACAGAGCCTGGCCAAGTTGTAAAGAATGGTGAAAATGAATTACCCGCGAAATTCCACATAAATTCGAAAAACCTAATATTGTGAGGCAAATACTTCACACAAATATCATACCATTTGGAAGTGGTATGTACACTCGTTTCTCAAGACGTCTACGCAAAGCTTCGTCAATGTCCCAAGGGAAATTCGTAGCAGCAAGAACCATAACAGATTTTGTAGGATCCTCTTCTTGTCCTGTAGCTCCTGTTACTCCTTGAGAAGTAAAGATAACTTTAAGTACAGGAAATACTTAAAGTAATACAACAAATATATGCTCATTTATATATCTATCATAAGAAATGAGATTAAGCGCCTGAAGACAACAAAATTGGTTAAAATGAAATTTTTAACTTCTATATGGGTTGAAAGCTTAGTGATTAAAATTTAAAAGCGATAGCTTCGATGAATGACAACAATCTACTAACACTAAGATGGCTAAATTTATCTCGACTATCTCAGCAGCGATACATTGATTTTTAAGTAGTCGTAAGATATTCTATATATGATTTTAGAATACAATTACTGTTATAATTGCCACTAGTGTTGAAGAACGAATATTGCAGTGCTCCACACTTCGATTTCAACAAACACTGGTGTTAACGAGATGAAGATTGGACTGAAGCATGTTCCGCGCAGGACTATATCGGGGCACTCTATTGTCTATTTCTTAAGCAATCAGCGATGGTGGATACTCTAGAATCTTCTTGTGTGAAAATCACAAATATTCTAACGTTTTTTATTGTGATTCCTATTTTCATCCAACATTTTTATTTGGAGTATAATTACGTTCCTGTTCAACCATGTTCTGATTTGGAGACTTGTCGAGTGAAATAATGTCCGAGAATACTAAGCAATAGCAGCAGCTTAGTCGTAATAGAAGAAATTGTAACAACTGGTATTCAATATCAAACATTATTGATAATATAAAATAATCATAATTTATAAGGGAATATTCGCAATATAAAGTAATAGACTTATACTAAGATAAGCATTATGTCAGACTAGTGACCTTATGATCTCACGAACTATATATAGTACACGAAAACGTTAGTTGATACCAAAGAGAGTTGTGTGTTTGGATCGTTTATTATGTTAACTTACATTTACACATTAAGTGACAAAATAAACGTAAATCATTTAAATAAAAGTCTTTTGGATTCACAACAAACACAAAATATCACATAAGGATCCTGTTTCAGCCGTTATCGGTTACTTCCCACTTCAGATTTTAGGAAATAAGTTCAGTATACTTTCCACATATTTAGTTATTATTGATTGCATAATACAAGAGTTTTAACTAAGTAAATTTGGACAAAACGTAAACGTCTGCTAAAATATTTGTACGTGGTTTAATCTTTTTAATGGCATAACTTTAAAAGAAGCTCTTCGACATTTAAGTTATTCTGCATACGAGCTAAGAAGCATGGGGCAACTCGAAATAAAAAATGATGGAATTTGGACAAAAGCAAATTAAGTGCATACGCCAACGTAATCAAGACGTGTAAATTGAGTTCAGAAAATATAGCCAACCATCGTATTCATTATTTACAAACTACTAGTTATTTGAAAGGGTTAAACACAAATTTAAATCCTTTGAGAATTAGAAAAAAACTTAGAAGATTTTCCTGCCAATCAAATCAAAGCATACCATCCATTTGCACTAGAAGTTCAGATTTAACACGCCGAGAACTTTCATGTTCTGATTCACCACCACGTCGAGAACAGATTGAATCGATTTCATCCATGAATATTGTGCTTGGTGCGTAGAAACGTGCCATGTCAAATAAAAGACGGACTAATTTTTCTGATTCACCTCTCCATTTACTTGTTAGACTAGAACTGGAAACATTGAAAAATGTGGTGCCACATTCTGTTGCAACAGCTTTAGCTAATAATGTTTTGCCCGTACCAGGCGGACCAACCATTAATACCCCCTAAAAGGAAATGAGAAACGAAAATACAAACATTAAGATGCAGAAATCCAATAAAACAACAGTTTTCGATAAAGATAAAAGTCGATTTAAATGATGCCGCTCATTAATAACATAAATCAAATCACCACTTGCAAGTTATTACATTATATTCCATTATGATTCGCATAGTCAACATTGAACAATGCTATGTATGTGGGGGATGGTGATGTATTAGAAAACACACCAAACAACTTACTTTCCATGGTCTACGTATTCCCTTAAAGAAACCCGGAATAACCATGGGGAGAACTACAGCTTCTTGAAGTAAACGTTTTGCATCATCTAATGCAGCTATATCATCCCATCGAACATTTGGATTACGTTGAACAATATCGCGTTCTAGTGTTTCCACAAGATCTTTGTCGTATCCACTAACATCAAATTTCTCTTCATTGTTATTGTTAGCAGTGGTAGTAGCATCCCCAGTAGGTTGAGATCCAGATTTGACACGACGATTATTTGCTAAATAAAGTCAATAAAATAAACTATAAATAACCCAAAGGCAAGATTTGTTTGAGATAAATGGCTACTTTCTATCACCCAGTTGAATAGGTTGTCAAACGATGCGGAAAACTTAGTACAAAACTTAAACAATAACTATAAATAAGCGTTTAGACATAATAGTGTACACTGAGACATAATGTTTTTATTAGGCTTGAGAAATAAACAACCCCGGCAACCCCAATTGAACATTGTGAATGAAAGTGAAAACTGCTTATTCATATTATTACGAAATGTCTTGGTGATATCCAATTATCCCATACCTCCAGGGTTTATTCTAGTTTAAATCGAGGTGAAACATAATACGCTTACAAACCAGAGGACGACAATGGTTCATTAAAATTTTAATTTTTCATAAGATACAATGGTAAAAATTTAGAGGGCGTTTTATCTATAATTACTGTATTTGCACTGTTTTCTTACTCCTTACGTCTATTAACGATTTATGGATAGTATTGCTTCAAACCAATACTTTGCTCTTAACAAATTTTTCACCATCACTCTTGGTGCCATAAAACGTGAAGAATAAAAGATTAAATATAAGTACATTTGTTCCACAAACTTGCAACATCATGGTAAAAATGTCGAACTAAAAATCACTATTCAAATGTATATAACTCAAAATGGTTTAAGAAAACAAGAGAACATGAAATGTGAATAAGAAAGCAGAAACGTTACCAGAGGTTTGAGTGGTGCCCTTAGATCGAGGATTCGTCGGACTGGGCCTGACATTGCGACGAAATGATCCCGCAGTATTATTAGATGACTTGGAGCTAACGGATGGAGGAGGGGGAGCTGGAGCATGAGCAACAGGTGGCTTATAGTAAGAGCTAGAAACTGGATTTGGCTGAATATTTGATCCAGCGTTTTGAGAACTATTCCCATGCCTTCGTTCGAGAGGAGGGGGAGGTGGCCAAACATCTGGGTCTCTGGTTGGCTCTTCAACAGTTGAACGGGAATTATAGCGACTGGCAAAAGCACTCAAACCCGAGTCATCATCAGATATTTTGAAACTAGACAACGTTTGGTTGACGTCTTTAACCAGTTCATATTCATCTGTAAGCTCTTGCCGTACCTACGACAAACAAAAACAGCCAGTAAGAAGTGTATCGACTAAATGAACTAAACAGTAAACACTAAACGAATACATAAGGTCTCGTGGTCAGGAATAAAGACCTACAGTTGGCTAAAATATACTTAGAATACATGTCTTTAAGAAATTGTGACATAAATGTTGCACCGTAGTACTAATATCTCCAGGTGTGAAAAAATGAGATGTTTCAAGGACTGAAACGATCAAACAACTCAATCCATAATTTCAAGGTAACCCATCTACCAATTGCAGTTGTGTGACCTCATTTACAAGCAATTTCTATGTAACGGATATTGATACGACCTGGTGGAACGATGGCTTAACAGTTGAAGCGGCCGAGCAGTATGCCACAAGTCCGAAACCTGCATCACCTGTCTTAGTTTTGGTAACGGGAATATCACTAGCTTTAACAATATACAAAATATTACTCAAACATCGGTACACAACAAAACTTACAGTTTGCCATTGTTGTTTTCGGTTTGCTTCAGAAATTGAAACAGTGAACTTCTTAAGTTGAGCAAGACCAACAGAATAATAAGTTAACGAACTTTCATAGTTTCCAAGCAAAGCCAGTTCTCGTGCTTGCTTTACATTCTCAACTATTTCACTCAAAGACATGATAAAAAAAATTGGAAAATCGCGCAGAACTAGTGTCGACAGATAACAAACAAATGGAATGGAAATAAATCCATGACAAAATAGTCTTTTGTGGAGCAAAAGAACTAGAAAATATGGAAGATAAAGAAATCATGTCAAAATTAAGGCATGAAATTATTAAGTGGTTTAATCAAGGGATAATGTTACATAAAACAGTACATAAATTAGTACCAACATTCACAGACACAGATTGATCAAGACCCCTTTCAACATATTCGAAGCGCTACTCGTGTCATGGGAAAAGGGAAGGAGCAATACTGAGGTTAGATCTACTTTAGCACTAAGCAAAAGTGGGAAATAGGCTTACGAGGTTTCGCATTTTTTGACAAACGAGTGGGATGTATCCCTTTTGACCAACTACAGCTTACCTTGGCCTTGTTATCTTATATCTGATTTTCTTTCTACAAACTAATTCCTTATTTCTGTATTGTAACCTTATACACAATCCTTCTTTTATATATTATTATATAGTGAAAAGAACACCAGTGGGGACAATCGAATGTACTTAACACAAAGTTACAGGACTTGTTAATAAAATCTAACAATCATAAAGTAAATGCTTAATTTGCAAAATGTTCATCAATATTCTCAAAATGACTCAGACTTCATTGTTCTTGCATTTTCATACAAATTGCATTATTTCCATTCTTTACTATTCGATTCTCTTGTGTCTCTGCTGCCAGACCTTCTGTTCACGACTAACATCAAATACTACTTATGTCAATATAAGCAGCACACACCACATAACTACTTCATGAATTTGGTGTTTGTCTTGTTGTGCTTATGAAGTGTGGCAACTTGGACCGATGGCTGGTCCTTGCAGCTGACTGACTGATATCTGATTTGTTCGTCGATAAATTATAGTCTTGTCCCATTAATACTCAACTTGTTAGTTAAATCCTATTGTGTTAATTATATACGGAGATTTAGGCTAACACATTTTATCTCACCATTGACACTGATTGTGAAGACGATAATTTTTTGCGATAAATTCCGGATTTAGGGAACATAAAAATAACTGCCTAACTGACAACTAAAATTGATATACCACCAAATGGCTTAGAACGTGACTAAACATTAGAATCTTGATTACATGAACTTCAAAAAATTGGACGTTACAAACACTAAAACTTCAATGGCACAACGAAAAGGATTTTTTCTAAACACTTTAGTACTGAATAGGGGTGAAATGGAAAATATCGAACTTAAATTAACAATGAATAGATATGACAGTTTAGAATATCAATAATGATAGTATATGAAAACATTTCGAATAGCATCTTAGGGTCTTTATGAGCATACAGTATGGACTGAAAATTTAAAGCCAAGAAAGTTGAAAAGCTCCATTGGGAATCGTCATCCACCTTGGTTGATGAAAATTTCAAGGTTGCTTGAGTGTTAATTTCTTCAGAATTAGTATTTTCACTGTACAAAAATACATATGTGTGCAGAAATTTGTGCATGGATTTTTAATGAGACTACCCAAGCTCCCAACTTGGGGGAAATCACCAATATCTGAAAAAAATTTGGGGGAATTCCCAAAGTTGAATAACCTTCCCCAAAGTTTGGAGAAATTTCGGGGTAAATCACCAAAACATGCTTTGCTCATTATTCCACAATAACACTTCATCACCATTAGATTATTAAACCTTTAAATATTGAATTACAATAAAGAAATATTAATTTTAATAAAACAATGACTTTTGTTTACGAATAGCCTATCGAATTTAAGGTTTTCTTTTAGTACGTTAAAAAAAGACACGAGACAGTGAGTATAAGTAAAAGTATACTTATACTTTTTTGATTATTTACTAGTTCTAATAGTGTCTATGTGCAGAATCTTTTAAAGATCTATTGTTTTATTCTATGGAAAAATGGTCTGAAAAAAACTCACTTTAAACACTAGATACTAGGAGCTCAATAACTATAGTTATTCCCAACCTTGACAAATTATAATACCCGCTCTGTTAATTCAACAACTGAATCAGATAATTAACAATGGAATGAGAACAATATACACTTAAAATCATGAAGCAAAAACACCCAAAAATCAAAAGTGCATAAATTATATGAAGTGGTTGATTATTGCTAACTTTTGCATGTAGGTGATTGTATCATTTGAGTACGAAAGCTTTGTTTATGTAGGCTTCCTCCCACGAAAATAGTTGTCTTCCTGACGAAATGGCTACTAACAAAAGCATTATTCCGTGGTACTCCTCTTTTTTATGTCTTCCAGTTGCTGGGTTTTAATAAACTGCCAGTTTTTCCAATAACACACAACACCTGATCAGAATTCATCACTAAAATGTCAAAACATCACGCACAACTCTCATCAGTGATAGCTTCAAAAAAACCTTACAGGCATCCCTTAAGAAAACACAGGTACTTGACTAATATTCCATACGCTACAGAATGTGGAAAGGATATCTTTTCCTGACATGGTTGATTCGTTTGTCTTTTATTGCCAGTTATGCACTAGTAACTTTGAAAAGCATTCCTGAAAGCTCAGACAGAAAATTTAATTGTCAGTCTACTTTGAGATGGGCCAGATCGCAGTTCTCAGAATGGTGACGACTTTACTGTGAGGTCAGGACGCTCTTAGTTGGGCTTCCATACAGTCGAAGTTCTTGGTGTTACTTGTTATGTACATCATATGTCATAATTAATTAATTGTTTGCTTCCAATGTCGAGCATTCTTGTACATATGCACATGAATTTACTTCACATTTATTTGTTCGAAATAACGCCAACTATGTAGGGGTGGATCTAAGATATACTTGGTAGGCTATCGATATGGCGAGATGGGTTTGGTCTAGACTGGCTAGCTGTTAGAAGGTATGAGTAGCACGGTGTACTCGTTCTTGACCTGGTGCTGACGAAAGGCGGAGAGCCTGAAGCTAGGCGTGTTCAGTAGAACCAACGTGGTCAGCAGAAACTATGAAGACCTACGGTAGTATTTATGTTGAGGGTTTATTTATCGCTGCGACAGACTTCTGTTCGTAAGAGTCAAATTTTTTTTTCATATTTGGCAGAATAACTGCAAGTACAAAAGTATAATTGTGGATAAAAGATATCCTGATTTCATCGTAGAAGGTTATTAATCACTGAGCAGTTAGAGTTTGAAAAACTGATGATTGTTGCCACAATCAGTAACGGCCATAGACTACAGATCAATAATAAATCTCTCTCTACAAAATTGCGGATGGCATGTGTTGCCTACGTGTTTGATAGCTGGATCGAAAAAAAGAAACCAAGAGTGTCAATCTGGATTCACGCTAATGACACTGGTTCAAAACACTGTCAGTGCGGCGACGGAAACAACAAGACAAGCACTACTGCGCAAAAACTACGATTTGTGCGAATAGTTGCATTGCCAGATCGTTAATTAAACTGTACAGGCTGGAAATCGTCGAGCGTTGGAATAGCCTATATTTGTACCGTGATTATCTTTTAAACAAGAACCACGAGGAAACAGTATTTCATGTAATTAATAATCATATAAGCCAATCGACCGACTGAGTTTGTTTTGACAGCTGTTTCGATTGTACCAGTCGCAATTCGTGACTGCTATTTTCCTACATGGTAGTCTTGAAAAATCGTTATGAATTAGATTCTACAATGTTGATGAGTGAACACTGCATAAAAAACAACCACTTAAATCTTTGCATATTACATATGTAAAAATAACATTTATGACGGGTTACGTAGTCTAGCAGTTGTGACGCAAGAATGGCCGATTACCTATGACTAAGCTTAATGTTTAGGGCTCCTCAGTTTATTTTGAGTAAAATGCACAAATTTTGGCATCAAATTTGAATAATTACAGTGGTTCGGACGCATGTATTAATGTCACGGCAAAATAGTATCGGTGCTATATATACTGACTGTCACGACGAACTTTTGTTTGGGTAACCTTAGTTTAATAGCTGAGTGCGCAAACACAAATATATTTGGAGATTATGGTGGGGTCTTCGGAAAGTTTGAGAGGCTGTTTAGGTATTTGCAGAACCTTCATTTCATGTGAACAAACAAAAAACAAAAATAGCGTGGTATACAAGTATTAGGAAATTCAAGTTATGGTGTATCGTGTAAGACAACAGTAAGTGTCCATCAGATAGTAACCATTTGCTAAAACTGCAGTCGCCTATGTGACTGAATTTTAAAAGGTGCAGACCATCTCGTAAAAGGCTCATGCAAAATTGTGATAATTAGAAGTATTTGAATTAATATGCTAGTCAGTGATTTCAGAATTAGTGTTATTTAAGCCATGTAAAACCAGATAGAACTAGATGAGCACAGATGAACGCATTATATCCATAATTCGTAATCAGTGTTCAGTCAAACACAAAGGAATCATCAACTAGTATAAATACTACATTCGCCAAACTAAAATACAAATCTGATTCAAAAACGAGGTATTTTTCATTTAATTCTTGGGTTAACAAAGCCCTGTTGACTGAAATTGTATAGATCCAAGAATAATGTAGGTCAGATACGTAGCATTGCCTGAACGAACAATCTAAATGAAATATAGGATTGCTGGAAATTTATAGTCCAAACTCCCTATGAATTTCTGGTATTCGTATTTTCTTTCCGACCATGGAACTTAAGAAACAGGCTAGCAGTGCTAATGTAAGAGCAACATTCTCGGAACAGTTTGTTACGGAAAATAGTATATAAAATGAGACTATAAGATGAATTGAAAATCTACAGTTGATCTTGTCTTGCTCATTTAAGTGAATAAGTTACAGAAAGATGTGCGTTCGTGTTGCCTTTTGATTTTGTTTACGAGTGGCCGATATTGTAACCGACGTATTACGCAGGAGCGATTCCGTATTGATAAGACTTCTTGAAGAACCATGATTATAACTGTAGTTGACTAGTATTTTATTAATTGATTGAACTAAATAGTTAAGTTTGAATATGAGCCGTTATTGATGTAAACCAGCGAGTAATCACAGTAATCAACAAGCTTAAGCAGCAACAGAAAGGGAGAATAATAAATATAGAATGTAATCACAAGAACAATCATGGGTTGCATTATCCAAAGACTTACTTGCCAGTGTCAATCACCAATGTAAATCATCTGTGTCAAATAACTGCTGGCCTACTAGAGTTAACCGGAGATGGTGCGACCAGTAAGCTAACGTCAAAGTCACACCTCACGGTTAGTACTGAATGCACTTTAACCTTTCGTTGTATCCAGATACTGTGGCACCATTGGTTGCCACTTAATGACTAGGTTACTTACGCATGTCACTCCTCGTGACGGAGCATAGGCCTATCATCAGAATTCGCCATCTGACCCTGTCCTAGGAAATCCTTTCCAGCTCCTTCCAACTGTTATTCATCCCTTTCATATCTGCTTCTGTTTCCCGAAGTAATGTGTTCTATGGCTTCCTATTTTCCGCTTCCCTTCAGGATTCCATGTCAGGCCTTGCCTCATGATGCAGTTAGATAATTTGAGTAATGTATGTCTTATCCATTTCCATCGTTTTTCCCTAATCTCCTTTTCAGCTGAAAGCTGGTTTGTTCTCCCCCATAAAAGGCTGTTACTGATGGTATCCGGACAATGGATGTTGAGTATCTTCTGTAGACAACTATTTATAAATACTTGTACCTTCTTGATGGTGGTTGTTGTAGTTTTCCAAGTTTCAGCTCCGTACAGTAGAACTGCCTTGACATTTGTATCGAAGATTCTGACTTTGATATTGGTTGACAGTCGTTTTGAGTTCCGTATGTTCTTCAACTGAAGGAATGCGACCTTACTTTGCCAATTCTCCCCTTTACGTCTGCATCTGAACCTACTTGTTCATCGATTATGCTTCCCAGGTATGTGAAGGACTCTACATCTTCCAGAGTTTCGCCATCAAGAGTGATTGGATTTCTGTTCTCCGTGTTGTGTTTGAGGATCTTGGTTTTTCGATTGTGTATGTTGAGGCCTACTGATACAGAAACTGCTGCTACTCTGATTGTCTTTACCTGCATTTTCCATGTGTATGCGATAGGAGGGCTAGGTCATCTGCGAAGTCCAAATCGTCTAATTGGTTCAGAGCTGTCTGTTGTATGCCATGTTTTCCGTCAGATGTCGGGGTCTTCATAATCCAGTCGACCACCAGAAGAAAGAGGAACGGAGAGAGTAGACAGCCTTGTCTGAATCCGTTCCTTACTTGAAATGCGTCTGTCAGCTGTCCTCCATGCATGACTTTGCACTGTAGTCCGTCGTGTGAGTTCCTGATAACGTTGACAATCTTCTCAGGAACTCCATGGTGTTGAAGAAGTTTCCATAACATTCTCCTATCTACACTGTCAAACGCCTTCTCATAGTCAATGAAGTTGATGTATAGTGACGAGTTTCATTCAACTGATTGTTCGACGATGGCCCATGGTGTCGCAATTCGGTCTGTGAGCGACCGATCCCTACGGAATCCAGCTTGTCGATCTCGAAGTTGGACGTCTAATGCATTTCTCATCTGGTTCGGCAACAATGTGTTAAAGACCTTCCATGGTATTGACAGTAGTGTAATCCCTATGTTGTTTTCACATTTGCTCAGATCTCCTTTCTTTGAAATGTTGATGAGGTGTCCTGCTTTCCAGTCCGTCGGCACTTGTTCCTCCTCCCAAATCTTTTTGAATAGAGGATAAAGCATGCTTGTGGTTGCTTCGATGTCTGATTTCAGTGCTTCAGCTGGTATGTTATCGGGTCCTGCTGCTTTCCCGTTCTTAATTTGTCTGACGGCCATTCTAATTTCTTCCGTAGTTGGTGGATTGACATCTATAGGAAGATCTATGTGTGCTGCTTCGATGTCCGGTGGATTCATTGGAGCCGGTCTATTCAGGAGTTCCTCGAAGTATTCTACCCATCTGTTACGCTGTTGTTGAATTTCAGTGATTTTCCTGCCTTCTTTGTCTTTGACCGGCCTCTCTGGTTTACTGTATTTTCCTGCTAGTT